CTGAAAATCCAATTCTTTCCAATTAGACTGATCCCTTTAGTTTTAATAGACCATTTTCTTTCTCTCTGGAAACAGGCCACAGAAGAGAAGTTGGCATTATATGGGCTTTCTGTATCATTCCTAATTTCTTTACGATATGACCAAGCCAAACAATTGCTTACTCAAAGAATAAGGGATAAGGAGTTTCAGACTATGGAAATTTAAAATATGGAAGTTAATAGGCTGCCCCAACATAGGTGAAATTGGATAAATAAGGGCACTTGGGAACCAGCAAGATATCTACAAAATCTAAGTTTTCCGAAGCTGAGAATAGCATTTTTCAAAGCCAGGCATTACATCTTACTCTCTTGCACTGCTGCAAGGCAGATACCCCAAAAACCCCTTAACTGAGTGTACCTACCCATGTGGTGACAAGCAGATTGAAATCATTTTGCATGTATTACTACATTGTAAACTCTATAGAGATATCAGCTCTGCTTATATTCTGCCCATAATATGTAAATTTCCAGGAAGACCAGACAATTTCTATGTGAACCATCTTCTAGAAGATTTGAAACTGTTTACCACCTCTGCAGTAGCCAAATTCTGTGTTGTCACAATGAAAATAAGACATTTATTTAAAGTTATGTAAATAATCACATCTGTCTTATCTGTCTTTAGATTTAACACATACTATCTTGTTTTTAGATGATATGTTTTACTTCATAGTCTGTAATATTTTAGATTTACACTTGCACAAGCAATTAATGCACTATTATAGCAGTGTATGTCAAATATTTATGTGTTATTTTATCTTGTTATGCTAGTACTTTATCTCATCTTTTCAATTTCACTTTGGTGTTGTATTTCTTTTTTTTAATTTTTGCTGGTCATTGACCAAATAAACTATTATAATTAGAAAAACTTTCTAGTGAGAAATTATTGAAAAAATACATGAACTGATATGTGTGCATATCTTACTTTGCCAAGTAAATTATTGTTTCATTTCCAAATGACATATTTAAAAGTGGAATAAAAATGACTCATAGCACACATATATGATGATCAGTATATGCTTAAATTTGGAAATCACAAATTTTAATAATTTAATGGGGTTTTTTTCAGATAAAATTGTGAAACATCTTTATAAAAATCACAAATAAATATAGTTAAAGGATACATTAAATACAGTTTTTAAAAATATATTTTAAATGACTTGGCACTCTCAAGATGTTTCTGTGGCATATGAATAAAAGTAAGAATTCTGGGACATATTTTATTTTTTAATTAAAAAATTATCTGAAATTATCTGATTATCTGAAATTAGGCTAGAAAAAAGAAATTCAAAACTGTAAAGGCTTTGTTTTAGTTGTTTGGGTTATTTGAGTTTAGGGATTAGATACAAACTTTTTCATATTATTAAATCAATACATTATTTGATCATCATCTACTGACAGTGTATTCTTGTATATGTCTACTCAGAAGCCTTGCCAACTTTAATGAGGCTTATTCCCAAATTATTATAATTAACACTGCAGCCTAGGACACTTAAACCGAAGATTCCTGGAATTAAAAAATTAAACTTTCTCTTTGTAAACTACAGAGAAGTAGCCCATCAGACATATTAAGTACTGTTTACCCCTATATTTTCTGTATATAATTCCAGGAAATATTACCTTTGATTTGTTTATTTTTGTTACTATACTTTGCACTACTATCAATATCACATAAAATTATTTAAGTAATTATAAAATATGTAGGCAGCATTACATGTGGAAAACAACTTTATCCAAAAGCCCATTTACTTGAAATAACAAATCTTCAAAACTGTCAAATGCTAATAGGTGTAACAGCAGTAAACTTACAAAGAAGCTAGCTTTTAGATGATAATTCCATCTCATACTTTTACTATGTATAACAGATAAAATATATGCCATTATAAATGACTTTCTTACTGACAAACTTGCTTACCTTAACCTTACAAAATTAAGAGAAACTGTCTAGGATTTGTTTTGGAAACATTGGAGGGGCAAAATAGATGGCTGGTCCACAACGTCCCTTTAAAAGGAGACAATGCAATCCAAAACACCAAAGAATGAAACCTCTACTCTAACTGCTTAACTGGAGAATACCAAGAAACATTAAGTAAAAGGAATTGGCTTCTGGAGAACATGAAAAGCCTATTAGAAAATATGAGTTTCCATCCAGGGAAACTCAAAAGGTATACAAAAATAGTGTAAAAGAGGAAACACCCATACAGTTAACTGCCACCCACAACCAAACACACGTGCTGCTACTGTGAAGACTGGAATTTTTCCCATTTCTTTTCAACATATGGAAAAGTAGTTTTTTGTTTTTTGGTGTGTTTTTTTTGCATCCCACTTTAGCCGAAACCCACTAAAGCATCATCGCCTGAAGCAGCAGGTCCGGCCACCTCTCACCTACTAAACCTGGAAATCCTGAAGACGATGCAAAGCACCAGATACAGCACAAGGACCCTCTGCCTCTATTTATTCCTGGCCCCCGCCCTAAAAAAACTGAGCGTGGATTCCCAGGGTCAGTGGAACCTCTCTCCAACCAGGGAATCTCCAGCGCAAGCAGTCAAGCCCCAGAAGCCCCTTCCACTGCCGGGAAACACAGTCGGCCCTCGCCGCTGGAACAGGCTCGCCGGGTTCCTTTGCCTCCCTCCTGCCTCTCTGCCCCACAGAGACCGAGGAGCCGAGGTAGGCAGAGTACAGGGGAAAACTGAGGCCTGCAGGCTCCCCGAGAAGCCTCCGCGCTCTCGCAGCTCCGGCTCCCCCAGCCCCTACTGCTCGCTCACTTACCCACCTCGTCGTCCCTGTTCCACAGCAACCGGGCTGTGTGGTGGCGGGGGCGTCAATACTCTCTCGGGCGCTCCTTCTCTTTGACAATAGCGGGGATAGAGCTGAGTGACTCCACCGACGACCTTTATGTGAGAGACGGGTAATCTCTAGGCTCTGCGCGCTCCGCTGCCAGACCGGCCACCATCTTACATTAGGGTGAGACTGCCTGCCTGCCCCGGACGCTGCTTTCAAGACGCATGCGCACAAGCCACCAGAGAGTTGGTGCGGGGGAAGGAAAAAGTAGAAAGAAATGTGACGCAACCCGAGAGCATGATGGGACTAGTAGTTTTAGTGATCACGTCCTTTCCCAAATTCAAACGGTTGTCTGGAGCGCCCAGCGAAGCTGCAACGTTGAGATTTTTTTTTTTTGGTGTTAGTAGTCGGCCGTATAAAAAGCTGTTTTTCAACGAGTCCTTCCATATAGAACTAAACGGACTGGGTGTCAACTCGCGTTTCGTTTGAAATATTTCCGGGTTTTGTTTGAAATCCTCACATTCTTGTTACCCCAGTATATTTCTAAAGAAAAACTGGGTTCACGCATCGTGCAAAACTATGGCTTGCTTATAGATAGTTTAAAAATAAAATTACTATGGAATAAGATAACGTTGGTGAGGTTTGTACGTGCTCTAAGTCATAAAGTGGTTAGGGGACTGTTAGCGTTTTCTTTTCACTGAGAGCAAGTGACATACTGATTCTGTTGTGTTGAACATATCTAAGTCCATATTGTTACTCCTAGTATCTGTCACTAATTGCAGCTCATTCTAAGCTTTTTACTTTATGTCAACTGTATAATTCACTTGTCTTTTCCTTTTGGTTTTGGCCCTCTTTCAATTTCTTTTATGTTTCATTTTCAGATCTTTGCTAAGTGTTTTGTTTAGCCACATTCGTTCGTGGATAGTATTTTAACTGAAATGTGGGGAAATGCCCTTGGTTAGATTTACTTTTCTTTTGTTTTCTGCCTTTAATTTCTTCTGCTTATTACAATTTTTCTGCACTTTGCATAATGTTACTTCCCCCAAAAGGGGATAACAATAATGAATATGAATGTACAACTAATAAACAAATCTGGTCTTCATTCTTTCAAAGAAATTTGGATTTAGATCCTTTGCCAGTTATGCACCTGAAGAGTCCTCAAGCCTATTACATTCTTTAAGTTTAACCTACCCTGCACAACACACACTTGTGGAAGAATAAAATGCACTAAAATCTTCATATGCTGACCTGAACACCTTCAAGGAAAGGCAGGATGTAAATGCCATATCTAGAGATGGAGATGTACATGCTATCCAGGTGAACAGATGTCAATGTACCACAATGGATACTATATGCCAGAAATACCAGGACTTGAAATCCCATAATTGGGAGGGCATTAGGTTGAGCTTTTGGTTTAATATTATGTGTGAAGCCTGCTGATTGTTTAATGAACTATTTCAGTTCAAATAGTTCTAGTAGAACAGAAAAAACCCTATCGGTTCTACCAAAAAATTGTAAGCAGCAGAATGAAAGGGCAGGATTGAAGCCTGAGATTAACAAAAACATGGACTTTCCTATGAATTCATTTAAATCTTCAGAACCAGATGAACTGAATCTTTAAGTAGTGAACAAATTAGCTGGTGGTTTGTTGAAATCAGCATGGATTTATCAAGAACAAGTCTTGCAGTTTTACCTCATTTTTTGATCAGGTAACTTCCATTATAAATGTAGGGCTTCTGTAGATATAATACACATTGGCTTCAGCAAGCCATTTGGCAAAGTACCTCATGACCTGCTGGTTAACAGACTAGTCAAGTGTGGGGTAGATAGCATGGATCTTCTACACTTCAGTATTCTTATTAATATCAGATGAAGGGGTGGGAGGAGAAATAAGCTGAAAGTAACAGAATGAAATTTAATAGAGACAGTTTCAAAGATCTTTTAAGAAACAAAAATATATTGATAAAGGTTTATATGGCCACCCATCTTACACAATATAACCTTGGGTAGCTAATAACAGTCCAACCCATATATTAAAAAATAGAACCCCCCCTCCCCAATTAAAAACCATCATACTCTTCTCAGGTACCAGAACAACCTCACATGACTTGCACATATGTTGGGATCAACTCATACCCTAGCCCAGTGCCTAGGAGAAGAATCAGGCCTTCTGGAAGACCAAAAAGGTAGAGACCCTCCAGATCCGAGGCAGGAGACTGCACAGATATAAGATGGAGAATATCTGGCTTGTGAAAAAGATTTTAGAATAGTAAGTGACTGAAAACTGAATGTAAGCCAGCAGTGTGATGTGGCTGTAAGAAAGGCAAATGCAATCTTATGCTGCATCAGTATAATTTCCAAATAACAGCAAATAATCATTCTATTTTGAATGTTAAGAAAAAGAAACTTCTAATGCTGAATGGTTTGACTGTGCAACCAATTACCCAGAGAAATTGTGGGCTTGAGTTTTGGCACATTTTGGTGAATGTATCTTTAGTACAACCAAAGGTCAACTGTACTCCAACCCTGCTCATATGCAAACTAGGACCGCTTTGTGATAGAGGTAGCATTAAAAAAAAAAGAAAAGAAATAACTAAAAGTTCTAAATTAGAGACTACCTTGCAAGCCCACATATTTGTTGTATCTCATCGACAGGGAGATTCCTGCAATATGCTGACACATTCAGGATATTTTTGATTTTCAAAATCCCACATTTTAATGGAGTTTAATTAATGCAGCACTATGTCCAGGCTGACGGTATAATATTCTAACTATGGTCTGGGCACAGTTGCAACTAGAAAGAAAATATTTGTTGTCAGAGCTTCTTAGAACACTATTTACTTTCCATCTAGTATCTATCAGACTGCTGATAATGGAAGCACAAATGCTTGTACTCTCGTGTATGTTACAGAAACTGTTTAGTGTTGTCCTACCAAGCAATCTTCTCTAGATTGAGAATATTGTATGTGTCACACGCTGACCTAACACAAAACAGTGAGGAAATGCAGTTAGAAGAAAAAACAATTAAGAGCCTTGGGGAACCTTAGAGGCATTAGCACATTTTGAAGGTAGAGTATATAAAAAGATTGTTCTTTTTGCACAGCTACCTGATGAGGAAGAAAGAAGGAGGCACAGCTTTGTGATAAACTTTCTGTATTCAGTGATTCACATATCATAACAACTACCAGACATTATTTTATGGCATGGCACGGCACATAAACTTTTGGACTTGGATGGATTCAGATAATATTTACATTAGGAGACAAATAATTATAAAAATAACAGTTGGTTTGACATGAGGATGCTACTCTCTGAACATATGCATGTTAACACTTATATTTAACTTAACAAAATTTAGTATCTGTGATATTTATTTTGTATTTTTCTTGTGAGATGCCTTGAATATTCAGTTGAACAGGAAGGTGGAATAAAAATGGAATAAATCATATGTGTTTTATTATCTTTAAGTGCAGTCAACATAAGGGGTCATCTACAAAAGTCTAAAAGGAAAAGAAGCTTATTAATAGATTTCATTATAAAAAATAGAGCTATACTGGACATGAGGGGAAAAAATCAAACTCTGTAATGGCATTGCCTTTTTATGCCAAATTAATATGAGTAAAACAGTTGCAAACTCCCTATTTTCTGTGAATTCACAAACTGCACATTAAATCAGTCTTTCCCAACTTCAGACATGTACACTTCAGTTCCCAGAATTTCCCAGCCAGCATAGAGCACCTATGTTGGGGAATGCCATTCTACAGTAGAAAATTCTCAGCCAGTATACCTTTACATTTGGTCTAGTGATCTGTGACTACTGCCACAGAAAACTGAAGTAACCTCAATGTATATGAAATGAAATGGCATTGCATATATAAATATAGTCACACAGAGTAATAATGACTCTGACACAATGACCACACTGAGTCAGTTAATAAAGTAATCTCCGTTTGTGCCATGATGACATTGTCTTTATCTTGTTTGAAGTCCCAGGAATTTTCAGTATCAAATGATATTTAACCACTTGCTAGGTAATAGTTATGCCTTTTGCATTTGTACAATCCATTAATTATCTACAATAAAACAGCTTATATTATCCTACTTTTCTTGTTCAGATATTAAGCAATTGCAATAATTTAATTTGTAAAATATGATTCATCAGTTGTTTCCCAGAAACATTAATTTTTCTTATATTTGAAGTCAAATTAACTTTTTGGTCACTTTTACTAGAAAATGAAATGTGAAATTTTGAACCAAATATATTCATAAAAACATTAAAAGAACATATGCATTATTTGTTAAATGTCCACCTACCGAAGGCTTTCAGCTTTTTATTATATATGAGGCTGTATCTTATGTGCCAATAAAAAACATTTCTGTTCATACCTGGAGAACACCTAATTTTCATTAATCCCTCTTACTGCACTTCCTCTATTGGCCCACAAAGTTGCTCTGGATTATTGGGGAAACCTGAGGGAATATGGCATATAAAACATTATTTATTTGATTTACAGACTGACGTTCTGATCTAGTGAACACTGAAAGCAGCAACCAACATTTAAAAACAAAAATGCACAGTGAATTAATGATAGCAGCATAAAATGGCAGTTTCATTTGTTAAAACAATATAACTGTATATTTACCTTTTTGAAGAAATTAGGCATTCCAAAACAGAAGATATTATGGGTCTACTGATGCTGTTGGAGATAAATTAATACGCTTAGAGTTATACCAGCACAGCAAGAGCCAGCAGATTTAGATTATTTGTTTAGCAGAAACATGAATCTGCAATATATGAGATGCTGTTCACATAGTATTGTGAGTGGAATGAGTAAGCAGTTGGTCATTTTTGTGGAGGTGAAAGACATCAAATAAATCTGTCTTTCCCCATTGTTTCCCCAATTTGCTGCCCTTTAATCTGTAGGACTACGGTTCTCATCACCATGTTGCTGGGAAGAGATAACATTTGTAATCTAAAAGTTGTTCAGTTTCTCCTTACCAAGCTCAATAAATGAGCTGATTACATTTATAACAGACTTTTAATACTCAGAGAAAACAATTTACCAAGCCACCAATCTTTTCACAAGGGACACTGGCTGGTACTTCATATTCCAAATACAACGATTAATTAAATGCAGAAATTTATTTCAGTAGTTTTTGATAACCTTAAATCAAATGAGAAGGAGAG